ATCTTTTATAAGCTCTATTAATAACTCTCTTTTATTCAGTGAATAAATAAGAGATAGAAAACAATGTTCTGTAATTAACACTGTTCTCTCAGTTATTCATGATATTCAAATAGCAAAGTATGAAGATCTGGTCTCAACTGCAGTTTTTATTGATATAAAAGAAGCATTTAATCATGTTTCAAAGTCAAAGTTAATTCAGACTTTGAAGATGTTAAAACTGCTACTTTCTCTAATAAAATGAGTTAACTGTTTTATATCTAAAAGAATCATATAACTTTTCTTTGATGAAATAAAATAAGACAAGACTGAGATAAAAATAGAAGTACTGTAAGAATCTTCAATCTCACTCATTTTATTTGTAATATACGCTGCATATCTATTCAAAGATAGAAATATGAAAATAGTATAATCTTCAAGTTATGTAGATGATATTGATCTGATCTACAGCTTAAAAACTATCAAAGAGAATTTAAAAGTGATTGAAAAAGCTGTAAAGAAAATCTTTATCAGAGCAGATATCAATTAAATTCAATTTAATATGAATAAAACTGAGTTAATTTATTTCTTTTCTAGATTCAATGAGAAAGAACTATCTCTAACTCTTTTAAATAGAGAGATTAAACCCAGTTTAAATGTTAAATAATTAGAAGTATGATTAAACTTCAAGTTAAATTTTAAATATCATATTTAACAAAGAACTGTCAAGACAGAAAGACTATTGAACAACATTATCAGACTATCAAATATAGAGAGAGATCTATTCTTCCAGGCTATGAGACAGTTATATATAGCCTGTATTATCTCAGTAGCTGATTATGAAGTTCAAGTTTGATGAAATAATTAAGGAAATTTCACTGAACTCTTTCAAAGTCTGTAAAACAGAGCTTTGAGAAGAATTCTGAGAGCATTTAAATCATCTTCTATTAAAGTAATGAAAATTGAAGCTTCAATTCCTTCTTCTACTATTAGATTTGAAAAGACCTGTATGAACTATGCTCTGAGAGTTATAAAGATAAGCTCAAATCATATAATCAGAAAAAGAGTCTCTTCTTCATTTTCATCAATTAACTCTGAAAATGAACTGAATTGAAATAGATTTCTTGATTAGAATGAAAATAATTCTTTAAAGAAAATGTCTTCTCAACTGTACAGACTATACTCACTGATTAAAAATCAATTTTCTTCTTTAAATATTGAAAAAGTTGATCATGAGAAGTTATCTCTCTGAAGAGAAAAGCTTGAATTTCTTATAGACTTATAAATAAGTGAACTATCTAAAGAGAAAGAATATGAACAGCATTTGAAGAGAATTTCTACAATCAATATAAAAGACTCTATTCTGATTTATTCAGATGACTTGAAAAATGAGAATTTGAATAGATTAGACACAGACATTGCTTATACTGAAGATAATATTAATTTTATCTCAGATTTCTGAAATCTAGACTGTGAATCTGAAGTCTTTGACACTGAACTATTTATAATAGTGAAAGCTTTCAAACTTATTAAAATAAAATCTCATAAAAGAGAAAATAGTTTGAAAGAGATATAAATATTCTCTGATAGTCAAGCTGCTTTAAAAAGACTTAGAAATAGTCAGATTTATAATGATTAAATGAATCTTGAACTGATCTTACACTCTGTTTTAAAAGTTCAAAAGAGAAGAATATCAAAGCTGATAATTCATCTGCACTGAGTTCCTGCTCATATGAATATTCATAGCAATGAATTGGCTGATTCAGCTGCAAAAAAAGGTTCAGAACTAAGCAGATCTATTCAAAAAGTTATGTCCTGATCTTTTATAAAGAGAAAAATAAAAGAATCTTATTTAGATAAGTGAAATGAAAGCTGGCAGAAACAAAAGAAGAGTATATATTATTCAAGATTTGAAATAAAACCCAAGTGAAAATCTTGTTCAATTAAATGTAAAAAGAAAATATTCTCATCTATAATACAGCTAAAACTAGAATATGACTATTTCAAATCTTATATACAAAGATTTAATGATAGATTTGATTCAATAGAATGCTCATTCTATAATGCAAATGAGAATTCTGAGTATATTGTAATACACTGTGCATTATATAATAGTCTCAGAGTCAGATTGAAAGAGAAGTATGATCTAAATCAATTAAATATGAGATTCTTATTCTCAACTGAGACAGGAATTAAATACTTAATAGACTTTCTATCAGAAACTCAAGCAGCTATAAGAAAATGACTGAATTCAGAAATATCTAAATATGAAGAGAAGGAAATTGATCAGATATAGTCTGTTAAAACAGTTATATACTATCTTTTGAGAATTTGTTTCATTACAGTCTCTCTTTATTTTACTTTATTTTTTTCTTTCTATTCTTTTCTATCTATCTATTTAATGTGTCTATCTTTAAGACTGTGTTCTCTTTTCTTTTGTCATGATATTGTCAAATGGTTTCAAAGTATCAGAAGATGTTAAAACACTGCAATTTGTAAACAGTTTTTGTATTCTGAGCTGAAATTTTCTGATTTTACATATCTGAAATTGATGAATGTATGATAGTTATCTTTATAGATATAGGCAAACCCCTGAAAACTTTTAATTCTCAGGTAGATGTCATAGTCTCTGACTGCATACATCTATAATTGAAGAATAATAATAATAATTCAAAGATCTGATGACGTAGTGATTAACTACACTACTATGAAGCCTCAATTAGCGGCCTTCTCTCTGAGGAATAAATGTCAAGAGAGAGCAGGTTCAAACTCTGCAGGAGTCACCTTAATCACAGCTTTCACTGTTAAGTCATACAACAGTATCAGAGGCCTCTGAATGCACTATAGTAAATCATCATCAAGCTTAAGATATTCACTCTGAGAATTTCTGAGTGCTAATTCTCACTGATCTTAGAATTAACAGTCTCTCAGGCACTTCAAGTTAGATCAGTACTAGAGTGATTGAGATCTAGAATGTCTGCAGAATAGTGAATCATTATCAAGCTTAACTGATTCAGTCTCATCTCTCTCACTCTAGACACTCACTTTCAGAGAATCAATATTTAAAAACTATTCAATTAGAACACCCCGGGCCTAGCAAGAATCTAGATGAGATGAGACCTAGGCATTCTTAATAAATGATTAGTGCAAGCAAGATCATAACAGTCAATTGATAGACTGAAATACTGAGATTGACAGTCAGAAGATTAGAGACTTAACTAGAATTAAGTAACTCTGATATTATTCTTAGTGAGAATCTCATTCTCACTCATGAATAAGCTAGTTATAGAAGCTAGCTGAGTGATGACTCTTTAGAAGAAATGATAATCTCTGAAGTAGATCTGAGAGAACAGAGACAGCAGTCAGTTATATAGAGTATTAAAATATATATATAGCTTAAGATGTAAACTGTAGAGATCTTGTTCTGTAGATCTATCTTTAAGACTATATTCTCTTTTTCTTTATCATGATATTTTCAAATAATTTCAAAGTATTAGAAGATGTTGAAATACTGTAATTTATAAACAGTTTTTGTATTCTGAGCTGGAATTTTCTGATTTTGTATATCTGAAATTGATAAATGTATAATAGTTAACTCTATAGATATAGGAAAAACTCTGAGATCTAAAGATTCTCAGATAGATGTCATAGTCTCTGACTGCATACATCTATAATTGAAGAATAATAATAATAATAATAATAATAACATTCAAATCTAGATTTATCACTCACTGATTCTGCTAGTTTTTTAACTCTCTTGACTGCGCACACTGTGTGCAATCTTTTATATCATGATTTTGATGTCTGCAGTTGAAGCAAGCTTGATGCTCATAATATCAAGGTTTTCACTCAGAGAATTTCTTTTTCAGAGAATTTAATGCTTTAGCAATAGTATTCAAATCTAGATTCATTATGTTCAGATATGTAACTTGTATTATAGAAGTCTGATTATTCATTCTCTGTTAAGACATACTTAATTACAGTATTTTCTGTCATAGTTAACTCACTTATTTCTGTATAATGAGAATATTATATACTTTCTTCACTGTGTCTGACTGTGAGGTTAAGCATTTTCATTCTACTCTTAACTTGAGTGTAAGATTATGAATGAAGATCTGTAAACAGAAAGATATTAAAAGCTCTTCATTTAATATAAGATAGTGTAAGCTGAAGTGTGTAAAGTATAATATAAGATTACTTACTTATCTACACTCAGTAAAGTATTTATAATACTTATCTTATATATTCACTTTCTCAAAGTTATGTAAGATTTATTTGAAAAACTTATTTCATGTTTATGAAAATGAATATTACTCTGAGTCTGTAAGATTCATCTTTTCATCAGTTATTTATAATGACTTTGCTTTTTCATATAGAAATATAGCAGATCTTAAGACTTATTAAAATTTCATTAACTATCTATCTGTAAGTTCATGTTTAATTTAATAATATAATTATATCTAGACTGACCGTGTGACCGTGTCTGAGACCAGAATCAAACTTTACAGTTGTCATGTTGTCTAAAAGCATTACTTCTGATCATGATTTGTATTCATTACATTGATTTCAAATCACATTATTTCAAATATTAAAGATCTCAGATTCACTTTTCAAATAAAAATCTAGTTCTGAATAAAGAATATGTTTGAATTCTTAGTCACATTTTCATTCTGATCTCATTATTGAGAATGATATTAAATGAGATTATAAAATCACTTCTCACTTACATAATATCATAATATAGTACTCATTTGTTGAAAATTCAACAGAGAGTGTTATCAAATATCATTACTTTTCTAAACACAGATTATAATTTATATAATTTTAATTATGAAAAAAATATAAAATATAAAAAAAAAAACAAAAAACAAAAAACAAAATAAAAACAAGAAAAAATCAGAATGAACAAAAAAAAAAAAAAAAAAAGAGAAAGAAAAAAAAAAAATAAAAGAAAAAGAAAAAAATAAAAAATAAAAATAAAAAAAATCAAGATTGCAAAGCTGCAGTATTCTTAAAATACTCACTTCTCAGAGTCTTTACAATATTCATTATCAACTGTGTATTTCTCACAGTGAGAGTAACACAGCTGTAATTAGACTGATCATGTGACCGTGTCTGGGACCAGAACCAGATTTTTTGATAGTCTCATTACCAATTCGACTGATCCCATTACACGGTTTTAACATTAAATAGTAGTCTCATACTGTCCCAGTGAGACTTACTGTCTACTCTTGTCACATTTTTCAAATGGGACCATGATTTCCACTTCTCAATTTAAATTATTTTTATTGCTTTAAATGAGTTTAAATCTCATTTGAGTGTTACCAAAAAGTGTTACTTTTTAAAAAATTAAAAATAGTCTAAAAAAAACCTTAAAATGTCTAAAAATAGTAACTTTATGTCAAGAATGGGACTAAATGAGACCAAATGAGACCACTTTCTCATTTTTTTCAAGTCATGGTTTCATTTTAAGATCTGATATATAGTCACTTTACATGTTTTTTTGATAGCCAGTCCCAGCGGGATTCACGCCAAGAAATGTATGGGACCAGACCAAATGGGGACCAAACATGAAATTCATGGTCCCGGCGGCCAGTCTAGCTGTAATAAGTTATTATCTTAATATTATCTAATAAATAATCAGTATATATCTGTATAAATGTGAATATTTAGAAAATATACATTTAAAAAGTGTCACTAGAGTGAACTCTACTGCTACTTGAATGATATCAAGAGCAGAATACTGGAATTGATGATTTCTCTCATTGATTTCATGAACAAGACAGATGAAGATGATCTTGAGAAATATAAGATTCTCTGATTTCTGATAAAAATGAATCTCATGAAGAGACTCTATTTTCATGATATCAGAGACTGAGTGTTATTAAAAAGCATTACTTTCATGCAATGCATATACACTTACTGTGATGATTCACTTTCTATATACATGACTGAGAGTGACAGCTTTCTCACACTACACAGCTCTCTCTGAGATGCTGACACTGGTTTATAACTCATGCAGTCTCTCAGTTCAGCATGCACTGTGTGTATACAGCTCTGTGTGCTGAGGCTGTATTAGTCATTATGATCTGATATGATACTTGCTTTTCACAGGTCATGTTTTGTTTAGAGAGGAAAGAGAGAAAGACATGACTGTGGTTTTATTGAGAGAGAATAAATAATTAGTAATATTGAATACAATTTAATTCTTCTGCATTTAAAATTTGATTAGTCTATACTCTTCAATTTGAGAGTTTCTAAGAGTGTTTTAATAGTTTTCATATCAGCTTGAACTTAGTGATGAGTTGAAGAAGAAGAGAAAAGAGAGAAGAAAGAAATAAGAATAACTTATCTTTATAATATGAAAATAGAGAATTGCTGTAATCATTCTTTCTAGTAATAAAGATCTGTTTTCTGTATGTATCTCTGATATAAATTATATGATAACTGTGTACAAAGAATATTAACACTGCATGCATTGAATGAAGATAATGTTGCTATATAACACTGTAGCTGTTTCTATATATCTCTGAAAGCTGTTAATATTTTCTTTGTCTCTTTATATTTAGTAAGTCAGTAATATATTTCAATGTACTTCTTCTTTCATTATCATCATCATTATTATTATTATCATCATCATTACTATCATCATTATCACTATCATTAACATCATTACTATCATTATTATCATTATTATTATCATCATCATCATTATTATCATTATTATCATATTATTTCTGACTGTCTCTTCTACCTTCACTCTTCTTCAACACTTACTGAAATCAATCATGTCATCTCTCTTTAAATATTCTGCAGTTCTGTGAACTACCAAGGCGCGTGAGTGCTGTCACAGATTGAAGGAAGAGAAGAAGAAGATGTTTAAGTGAGAGAAGACAGATTGTAAGACATATTATAATGCTTTGAAGAGACTCTGTAAGAAAGTAGAATAATAATGATTTTAAGTAATACTTCTGATAGATTTAGACTGAACTAAGTATAGAAATAATATGAATGATACTGTCTGTGAGAGATTGAAGAAGAAGATAGTGAAGAGACTTATACAGTAGTGATGAAACCAGAAGAAGTTCTGAGAATGATTTGAGTTCAAGATAAAGAGAGAGAGAGAGAAGAAGAGTATTACTATAAATAAACAGTGATAGAAGAAGATTGAGAGAATATTAAAGTAGAAGATAAAGAAGTCAAAACTGATAAGTTTTTTATTTATTGAGAGATAATAATTTTTGATAATACTTCTATTCTCTAATTGATTAGCAGGAGCTGACAGAGAAGAAGAGAATTGAGATCTTGTTCAGATCTTGAATGCACTCTATAATTCAGAATATTAAGGAGACAGCTCTGCTCTCTGAGCATGTCAATCTGCTTACTACTGAGGTGAAACCTGAGACAGCAGATCAGGAAATGTGGGATTTTGAGACACAGGTTAACCTGGCTGAGAGAGAGCAGTGAGAACCCTTCTCTGAGAAGGCAGTGAAGAGAGATTTTGAGATGATTATCATCTCAGATAAGAAGAAGAAGAAGAAGAAGAAGAATGAGAAGTGAATTATGAAGAATAATAAGAAGAATGAGAAAGAGAAGAAGTAGATTTTTTTCTTTTTATATTAGTTAGTTATAACTTTAAGTTTTTAATTATTAATAATTAAAATTGATTTTGAGTTTTCAAAAATTATTGTACAAGTTGTAATCAAGTCAGGAATAATATATATATATATATATATTTAACTATCATGATTCACAAATCACTATAATATATAAGTATCAACATTTTTTCAACATTGATATTCATAATATTAATATATTTTTAATGATATTATCTGATAATATAATTTGATAACACTCTCTTTCACAATATTAATATATTTCAAGAAATATGACAGAGATTAATCAAGATTGTTTATTTACTTTTATACATTAATAATATTCAATCTGAGTTAGTACTAAAATTATAACTAAGCTAAGAAACAAGATTATTTTCTCTTATATTAATTCTTCTTACACACATCAGTGATCAGTTATTAAAAATAAATTATTATCTTTCTCAAATTATTATTATATCTTCTGAATTCACTTCTTTCACTTCTTTTATTTCTATTGAAGATTTATAAACTCTTCAAGAAATCACTGTGAATTACAAAGTCTACATTATTTATAATTTAATATAGAATACTCTCTTTCAATCATGATAAATAATGACTTCATTCTTCATATCTGATTTCAGGTCATGAAATTTATAAAAAACTCAACACAAATACTGAGATGAACTATGAAATAATTATTAACAGATTGTATTGCAGATTACTGAAGAGTCATCTCTCTACTACAATCACTGCAACTTTATTCAGAAATATTCATTATAAACTAGTCATAGCTCTGAAGAAATTTTCTGATATCTGAAGTTATCAGAATGCAGATAATAAAAGAAAAATAATCAGAAAATTACTACTGAGCTGATAAGTTACTCTATCAGATAATAATTTTTAATAATACTAACTTTCTAATTTGAAGAAAATTATGTAAAAACAACTACATATCAGTACTGTGATTTCATAACTCTCATCTGATAACTTCTGTGAATAATTACTTTATATATATATATCTCTGAATCTTTCTCTTCAATCAATTGAAAACTCTGAATTCTGAACACTTCTTCAAATACTTAATTCAAATCTTCATATTTCACATCAATTCTGTCTTCAGTTCAATCTTAAGACACACTATAAAGTTAATATACAATATCTAGAATCAGAGTTGAAGAATCATCAAAGAGTGTCTCTTATAGTGAATGTATGAACTAGTATAAATAATCTTACATTTATAAGAGTTATATGTTATTACATTGATGAGAACTGAACTTATTAAGAGACATTAATTGAATTTGAATCATTGATCAGTAGTTATACTAGAGATTATATAGTAGAGATATTAATAACTGTGATTAAAAATGACTATTGAGATATTAGTCTCAGTCTTCTTACAATTATAACTGATAATGCTGTGAATAACTATACTATGATGAAGAGCTTGAAGTAAAAATTGACTTTGTATTTCTGAAATAATAAATAAGATTATATTCTCTGCATTGCTCATGTGATTTAACTTATGATATAAACACTGATAAAGAATCTTAACATTGAGATGAAGAATAATAAGATGACTGATTCTTGAAATAAGAATGAGATAAAAGTGATTACTTAAGTAACTTTTACATTCACTTTGTAAAAGATAATGTTTTTTAATAATACTTTTTAATATTGCTTTTTAATAACACTTTTTGATAACACTACTATTAATTTTGAATAGATTGACTAATAATTTAAATATCACAGATTCAAAACATTGTTAATGCAATTTATATCTTCTCTAAATAATAATAACAATTTCATGATATTCAATAAATAAACAAATCAGTCATATCACTGAATATGATACAGAATATTAGAACACAGTGAAGTTTAATATATAAGATGACTGTTCAGACTCTTCAATTATATCAGATAATTAATCATTGAGTGTAACACTCTGATCAGAAAAAGATTCAGATATTGAAACTTTCTGATATGAAGTGAACTTAGTTGAAATATATGATTGATTTACTGTTTCAGTTTTATAAGATAATAAAGACAGTCTCAATTACTTGTACATCAATGCTGCAGTCAGTCTGATGAGTGTATAACAGTTTATTTACTCATTCTAAGAAGCAGTTGAATCACTCAAAAAGAAATTCAGTCTGAGATGATACTATAGTGCAGGCTATTATTACTGTAAGAAATAAACTGGCATATTACTACAGCAAAACTGAATACTCTTTTACAGAGTACTATACTGTAACAGCTCTACTAGATCTCTCTTATCAAGTTAATATCTACACTTCTCAAGATTGAATAGAGGAGAAATGAGACTCATATGTTAAATTAGTCTGAGACTACTACAATATCAACTATCAGAGATTTGAATGAGCAGATGTTCAAGATGTGAAGACAGTGAAATATAATTCTCTAGTAAGTAATGATCTTTGATAATACTTCATATCTCATAGAACTATAATACTAACTTTGAAACAGAACTTGTATACATTAATTGTAACTGAAAATCAGGTAAAACTATATACTTATAAAACTGAATTTGACTGCTATCTTCAAGATGATCTGACAAATTTATACATCAAATCAATTCTAGAGTTATGAAAAATTATTGAGAGTACATATTTAACTATTGTACTGATAATATGTGATATTCTGATAATTTCATTGACAGAGATGAGAATGAAGTGAAAGTTCAACTCAAGTTGAGATATTTATCACTATTATCAGAAACAATTATAAGAAGAAATAATCAAGAAACTCATGATTGTAAAATATGAAATTATTAGACAGTTTAATACCTCTGATCACAGTATATCAGAGAAGTGTAGTTTTTATGAGAAAGTAAAGAATAAACTTATATAAGAATGTATTTAGTTGTTTCATAAGCATTATCAATAATCATTACCAAATTCTGATTATATAAGCAATCACTGAATGAATCAAATGAGACTGATTTTGATCTTCAGTTCCAGTCTCATTCTGATTTTAAAAGAATAATCATCTTTCACAGTTTATTCTGAGAAATTACTCTCATTTCACTGTTCTTGAATTAAATCTGGTCATTTTTCACATCATTTCTCTCAGAAATGGTTCATTTTCAGATTTTTTTGAGGCTTGATTCTGGTGAGACTCACGCTAAGAAATGTATAAGATCAGACCAAATAAGACCAAATGTGAAATTCATGGTCTCACCGGCCAGTCTTTCAGTGAGTGAGAAGACTCATATGAGACTTGAAATTGCAAGACTTCAGC